GAAACAATATATTATTCAAAAACGAATTTGTTAAAGCACCATATCAATCAAGTCTCCTTTCTATCGAACTCCATAACAAAACAACATAATCAGAATCCACACTTATATTCTTGTGTTATGCTTATTATTTTTATTTACGTTATAACTGGTTGGAATGGCCAGTGGTGTCGCAACAGAGAGACAACCTTTCTACACGCAGTCATATCGCCTGACGCCCACTCGTTTTAGCTAGAGACGTGAACTGTAAAATACGAGTAGTCAGTCGATTCACTACTGCTTTTAGAAGAAGCTGAACGTTCTGGTTGTACCCAAATAGATCCTTTAACATGGCATGATGGCAGAGAGGATATTTATATGGGACGAAAGGGAGTGTTACTAAAAACCCCCCTGTTCCTTCTCCTGTTCTGGACCGAGGTCGCGGTGCCTCAATCTCTTATTGACTAAAAACCACCACATCCAAAAAACCAATCCTATCGCCCAATACCCATCTGTGGTGCTCTGTTGGCTAGATACATAGATGGATTGTGTTCAGATCAAAATGAAAGAAAGACTAAAAGATAGAAAGATACCATTGTAGAAAATAAGGATTCAAAACAGGACGAAGCATTTATATTTATTACGTAAAACCACAAATCATGCGCTCAACAGAAGCAATAAACAATATAATCGCTTGATAGTCTATTTGTGTTATGCTCGTCAACGCAGGCCCAAAGCGATAAGACCAAGTAGAGAATTTTATCATGGCCTCTAAAACTATTAACGATAATTTATTTTCCAATTATTAGAACAATAAATTACTAAGGATGCATCCATCATTCTATCGCGACCTTTAAGAACATTATCGTTTACATTTTAATTTTGAAAGCAAATTATAAATTCAGTTATTACAGCTTTCAAACGATTCGGGCAATAGTTTCACCCCCCATTAAAAGATGATACTATATACTATCTATATTTAGTCGATTACATTTTCACAACACTAACAAAAGTAAGTACAAATACAGCTCTAACTTCCGTAATATTATAGTAAGTCTCGCTATCTCAGTCACACACTCGAGATAATGTGGAGTATCGCTCGGATCATTTCCAGTCGAGAGCAATCGTCAAGATCTGTGCCGTATTGTGACACCCACTACCACTGTTTTGTATGCCCTAACGACTATCAAGGGTTTATTGCCCTGCAACTACACTATAATGAGATAAATACGACAACAACACTTCGTGATTGGCCCGAAGAAAAACGAATACTCACGTTTTACCCTACTTCGACAAAGAAAGCAATTTTGACAATTTTTTTACTTGAAAAACGAATTCCCTTTTGATCTTTCATCTTGATCTAAGCCCTTATTTGTTTACGCAACCGCTCACTTATTTAACAAAACGCTTATATTTCTATTATATCCTTTTATGATTAGGTATATTACTTAGTTTTACTGAACATATATCATATAACAAACAAATATTATAGTTTTTGGGCGCATTAGTATGACCATCTCTACATTTCTACCTCACTCGGAGTAAGGATTGTACAATCGTTTTAATGGTGCTTTTGGTTCTTTAGTTTTATCTTGGAGGAAACTTTCAATTACTATAATAACTTACAGACGTATCTGAAGTTAAACGCAGCTTTTACTACTACGACTAGACTCCATAACTTCGGTAATATATTCTCCTAAACTCCATAACTTTAACAGCATTAAATAAATGTCCAATTTAGGTGTAGAGTATTATAATAATGCTCTTTATTCCTGGCCTGTTGTGAACCGCATTCCTTAGGTACGTACTTAGTATTTTTTGCGTAGGCGTCGAACCCCACACCCGTCGTTTCTTGCATTATAATTATCTGGAACGAATAAATATGGGCAACAGTTTATGTTGGGTTGTAAGTACCTCTCATAATTTATTTCCACATTAATTCATAATTAGCCTGAAGCAACGTAAAAGTGATTAAATTTAAGAAATGTACCTGCTTTGTTATTAATGGAGAATGCCCTTTGCCTGAAGAAATATGTCTTGTCGTTTAATTAATTAATATGCACACACAGCTTGCTTAATGACGCGTCTTAAAAAAAAGCTGTCGTTTTAAAACATTTAATTTTTCGATAAAATCACAAGCATTATTCCAAAAAAAGTTTCAACATCTCTAAATCATATCCAGAAGCGAAACGCTTACGCAAAGACTACCGAAACGAATTTGATACACCGAGAATCGAGAATCGAGTATCGAGAACAATTCACACCCCGCGGCTAAATCGTATACCGTTTACATAATCGGAAAATGCAGTACGCAAATCGATATACAACCTGTAACTATCATCCATAACTTACCTCGCAAAACCAGGTAGAGCAATCAAGTTCTGTCTGTTTACAACTCCTTTGTAGGTATTTACTTGTTGCTTTTCCATCGAATTATTCATGTGTCCTTCATACACCATCGATAGTCAACAAAGAGCTTAATAAAGGCAGGTAGCGTGTTGATGTATTCTGTTAAGTAAGCAAGTCAACTTGGTCATTACTTGAACGAGGCACTGGCGCCAATAGTCTTATTATACATGGAAATATGTTGGCCGGATATGCCTCCTGTTGCGGCATGTAAACAGATTCTATTAAATTTTGCTTTATATATGTTTTGTGGTATCGGTATCGAAAAACAATAACTCAACAATTTAATGGTTAGGTACTTATCAAAATAACAACTTTACTTAGTAACGGAAATCTTTGAGTAGCAACAGAACTTATAAATGAAAGCGCTATACGTCTGTTAAATAACACTGCGTTACACGATTTTGGTACCCTCTTAACTGATAGCTGGAATGAATAGGTAATGAGTCACAGATGAAATGTTCCAAACATATGTGGTATCCATCACGTCTAGTTTTCGAGGTACAGTCAATTATTTTTTCTACTACCCTCACTTTAGGCGTAAAAGAAATAGTAGGCTTGTGTCTTCCAGTGGAATTCCATAGACTGATGATGATGATGATGAAGATGAGCAATAAACTAATACGTAGATTTAATGACACGACAGCTGGTTAACGACATGTTAAAGGCATACGAAAAGTTGGGTTGCAGAATGTCATTAAAAATTCACTTTCTTCGTTCTCATTTTTCTTTCTTTCCATCTAATCTTGGTGCGGTCAGTGATGAGCAGGGTGAGAGGTTCCACCAGGATGTAAAGAAGCTTGAGGAACGATTTCAAGGGACACAACCATGCTAGGTGATTACTATTGACATTTAAAACGAGAAGATCATTCAGAGCACAAAAGAAAAAGTTAAATTTTCATGATATTTAGTATTAAAATTTTATAAAATAACTTTTTTTGAGTTTTTACCTAAATGATAAAATTAAACTTGATGAATGTAAAAAATTCTGGTTGATTTTATTAGATTTCTTTAAAATATGTTTTTGCCTTTTAATTTTTAATATAAATTGGCACATTCTTACAGAAGAAAAATGAGACGTGATGAAAAGAAAATTTGTATGTATGTTTAATAAGCGATAGGTATAAATAAGAAAACATGACATTTCAAAGCGGGTACTCAAAATTTTTTTTAATTTGTAACGCAGTGTAACTTATTTTATATTACTAATTGTTAAGTAATTTTCAAAAACATTGCTTTATATAGCCGCTACTGTTAATTGTGGTTTACGAATGAAACGAAATTTATTCACATTCCATGTATCCGACTAAATTAATATGGTATTTTATATGCTTATAAGCGTCAGTGGCTATCAACCTAAAATACGTGTCTCGTTTATATTCTGGTAGCCATTTAATGTCATTAACGATGAACATCATTGGCATTGCGCCAACGATCGCATCGGACCTGTTTTACAAACTCGTGATAAGAGCCGAGGTTTTAATTACCTTAAAAGTGAACGCACCTGTCAACGAAGCTATAGTTTCCCTCACAACAAAACATCAAAGATGAATTAGTAACAGCTAAACTTACTTAAAAAAAAAACAAAAAAATCCGTAACCTACATCCATAAAATTAAAATAATAAAAACGTCCGTCTCACAGGCACGCTCTACTAACTAAAAATTTCACGCCCTTGTCACATCCAGTTAGCGCGTTAGCTAGGTTAGTTTATTTCAACCAGCTTCAATCTGGTCGAGCATCATTTAACATTGTAATTTGTATAATTACCCGTCTAGGAACAACCATATATAGAAGATTTTAACTATATACTCTTGTAGAGTCACAGCACATTCCTTTGTTCCTTATACATGGTTATAATGGGCTTGCAATATTAGATTTATGTTGTGTTAATATACCTAAGCATAATAATAAACAAGTAAGTAAGACTTATAAGGCGTCAATATGACAACATAATTAATAGGAACAAAGGATAATTAATTAACATATTCTTGATAATAATTTACCGTAACGAATATACCAAATTTACTAATGCTGTGCCTTCATCATAAAAGTACACTTTTATTCAATACTTTTATGTAGATTAAATAAAAAAGAGGTTTTAATAAACGTTTTATTGGCCGCACCCGTTGATTTGCAGCTGGCACAAAAAAACAATGAATAAATAGAACCTAATCGAAATTCAAAAGGCACAAAGCCAAATCTTATTCAATTGGCCCTTAAGCCGATTCCGCGCTTTCAAACGCACCTGCCTCGTACATTATACATTGTAGAAAACGGGACAAACGGTGTGGCCGTAAGATTTGCACTTTCGATTAGGACATCCTCTACTGAACACTATTTCAACTTGATGTCACACCTATGATCAAATTGATAGGCTATTTTATAGTCTAACACCCTATTTGGTAGATTTTAAGTGTGAAAACATGAACACATTTCTATTAAATACTTCATGTACATTTCTCTACAACGTACATAGCTGATAATTCCATTTTTGACGTGATTTAAAAATTGAATATTTGAATTTTATAAAATAAAATATGAATAGTAGATTTAGAGCTACAAATTATTTATTCTTTTTCTTTCTATACTCATTTTCCTTTTACTTTTTCTTTGCAGCTCCCCACTTCTCACTGTGTCTTCGCTTCAGAAGATGGTTGGTGTCCAGCTGAACGGGAATATCTACCAGCAGCTAACGACAAATCCACTAAAGGTGTTGAAGTCAACCCGGTATCTGCTGAAAGGACTCTCTATGTCGGCAAGAAGAACAAATTAGACATTCAATATACTTCTAAAACTAAGGACAAGGTGAGTTTCAAGGGAATTGCGTTGTTAATACTACTTAAAATAAAATCTTATTTTCTGTAAACGGGCTTACGAAGGAATCTATAGTACCTATCTTAATTAAAAGATCTTGTATAAATTTTTCCATTACCTTCCAAAAATATCATGTGATTACCACAAGACAGTTCAAGTATCAGTAATCCGAGAACACATAGCACTTGTTTAAGCACGCCTAATAGAAAATAGATCACCCAAGATGTTCTGATGACAGCACTTAGGTCAGAAGGTCAATAATGAATCTAACAATAGGAAACAATATCAGAAAAGGTTAATAATAAAACAGTTGACACGTATTACGTAATCACTGATAAGGTAAAACATTCTTCGTAATGTAGTTGAAAATAAGTCCCATTCAGCCCAAGCAACAGTAACAATTAACCTAAATTGTTTCTTATTTACAAATATGTTATGGTTGTAAAACGAATGCTGATGTTCTGGCACATTATCACAGGGCACTAATGTGAATGACTAAAGAAATAAAATTGTTTAATGGCGACGTGAGGATTAGAAGTTATAGGCGAGCGAAATATTTGCAACTGATGAAAATATCGCAGATAGAGCACGTACAATAATAATAAAATATTATTCATTGATTCATTGTTAATTTATTGCTTATCATGTCATACAAATATAATAAAACGCCCTGATATTTTATTTTATTTAAATACTTTTTGCATAATTGTTGCACAATGGCGGACTTAATGCCGAAAGTATTTGTCAACAGTCTACCTTACGGTGATACAGAGACAGGTCAGGTAGGTGAAATAGGTATAATGCTGCTATAAATATGCTGATAACTATGCCCCTTTTACCTATATTTTAAAACTTCGATCAACTAGTTCTCACAGTTGACCTAACAGTTAAAAGAAAGGATCAGCATAAAGGCCAAAGCATTACATTCCAACCTTCTTTGTCCATAGCAGTCGTATAATGTATGAGGAAGCAAATATCTAGCGATGCATTCTGACAGTAACATGTCTCAGTAATTTTAGAATTAACGTCAGCATCTCTAGTGAAGCTTGCCTCTCTATTCCCTCCGACATAATTACTACAATCATAATAATTATAATTACAGTAGACCATGTTTAAATAATGATACCATAATTATAATTACGTTTTAATAGTCCACCGCACTTTAATGATGACGAAAGTTGACATGATATGTAAATCGAGGAAAGGTTTTTTTTAATTTCTGTTAGAGTATCATATCTCATTGCCAGAATAAAATGAAGTGCTTGCAAACACATAAACAATTTCAAAGTCACTTTATAAACCACAAAGCTGCACTCAACAACATTGTACACACTCACATATTTAAAAAATTAAGTACCTCTTTATAATTATAAGTATAATATTTATAGCATAAAATAACAGTTAGAATTAATATTTACGAATCCAATCCTTTTAAAAAATACCAATAATATTATTTCTTGTAGCATTTTGAAGGATGAGCGCAGCGTGATTCACAATCGAAACACTCATAAAGTACAGATCGAAGATCCATATCCTGCCAATAAATGAGCAACCGATTCTCGTTTTAAATCGCATATAAATCTTCAGCTCTTTGACTTAAATTATCTTGCAGCCCAAGATGATGATTCTGCAGTCGACGCAAAGCTTCAACATCGATTTTGACATCGACGAGCCGGAATGTGCTGGGTCGATGTGTGCCACCACTGTGTCTGCAACTCCTACACAAGACTTCTGCAACGTGACTGGTGGCGTGTCTGAGTATGTGGAAGTCAGTATCAACGTGGGGCTCGCTGAAGAAGTGAAGATCAAGTACTATGTAGTCTGTGCCTGCCCTTGCAGCGGTAACGCCGAAATTAAATCCCCTATCTGCCACAGAAATGGGAACTATTCTTGTGGAATCTGCATTTGTGAATTTGGATGGTAAGTGTCACTAAAATATCCACAACTACGTTATATTCTAAAGGCAAATATGTATGTTCGTAAACCAAAAGTGTTCCTTCCATTTCTGCTAATTCAATTGCTACATTGCCAATACGATTAATCATACCGAAACGTGCAAAAACAAACTTATTCGACTAAATTAACCTTTGGTTAAATAAATACAGGAAAAAATGACATCGAAACAACAATATTTAACTTAACAAATTCAACACCAAGGAAATCTTGTTTATGCGGTTAGCCGATTTAAATTGGTAATGGAAAATTTATTAAAACCGGGACGTTAGGAAATACCCTATTTGTACTTAAATAAAATCAGTCTTAAAATACTTGTAATTGTGTTTCCGATAAACGAGGAAACAAATACTTAGTGCAAAACAAACTGAAAAGAACAGTCACGGTTCGTATAACTGTTCAAGTAATCTTAAGAAACGGTGGGTGCAACAACAAATCTCGTCTAGGAACTCAAAAGATTTCTTAAATTATTTCCTACTTTACACAAGTTAGAAAGTGAGTAGAGGCTTTTTGTATAGTATAGGTGGGCAAACGAGCAGACGGATTACATGATGGTAAGCAATCGTCGCTGCCAATGGACAACCGCAACACCAAAGTAGTTAGTAGGAGTGGGGGAGGGGAAGCATAGGCCTCCGGTAATCTCACCCAATGGCGAAACACAACACTGAGAGCCTTAAAAATAATATAAAGCCTAACAAAATAACAACAGTTGGTGTAAAAATAATTAACTTCAGCGACTTCTTATTGTGATAGTCTAATACCTATGGGTTTTCCCAGAAACAGAACTAATAAACAAAGCAGGTGACATATTACAGTCAAATGTTAAATAATATTATATTCGCCAAGCACAAGTTAAATTCATGAAATTACGGACAATGAATCATATCACAACACAATCAAACAAGCATTATATGTCGTAAGGTAACGAAGCAAGGTTGAATTTCGCAAATAAACACTATCGCCAGTAAATATTTAAGTTCAACGCAACAAAAACATCTTTGTTCGAACTTTGATGCGGAGTTAATTGTGGCACAAGAGCTCCACTCTCCGCTTAATGCCGCGGTTATTAAAAATGTTTTGATGCAATACAATTTGTGAACAGCTGCGTGTCAAAGAATAATTAATTTTAAAAGCAAATCTACTCTAAACATCAGTAGAAATAGAAATAAATCATTTTGACGAAATTCAGAAATCATTTTTAAAACTAACTTCATAAAATTTCATAAAATTTAAAACTATTCTTAAACGGCGTCGAAACTAGACTTAAAACTCAAACGAACACTTATCCATACAACCATTACTATTGCACATGACATAACGGATAATAAGTCTTCAACAATTCTAATACGGTAATCCACCAGGATGTTCGTCAGTAACGGACTGATAAATCGATTGTTATCGGTAGAAGAATCGAATCATTTATGTCTAGGCCCTAGACAATTATAGCTATAGACGATTTCATTTTTACAACTAACACCCGGTTTCCGAAAGACCGATCAATGTTAAAATCAATTTAATCTCTTGTCAAGTCATCTGATTGGTTGACTGAATTATCAACAACCAATCATATGACTATATATACTATGATTTAACAGGAGATTAGTTAATTTTAGCGTTGACAAGCCTTTCAGAAACCGGGTGTTAGTATACATTTAGAACATTTTTCACGTATTCTTTTACATCCAGTAAACCAAAGATGCAATTGACATTTTATGTTCGTTTCCAGTCTGTGCATGACACCAAACAATAAGAAATGACCTAAATATTTCAAGGATAAAGTGATCAGAAAAAAAATGTAACCAGCACAGCATTACATAATACCTACATTATGTACGTTAAACAAAAAACGAACATAGATATCGCATTTTGTAACTGCAGCTACTATAGTAGATATTAGATATCTATAGCACTATTTATAGTTGTACTTAAAAGAAGTTTTCTTACCCAGGACTGGCGAACTTTGCGAGAAACCGATTTGTGATGAGACCAAACGTGGTGATGTTGTCCAATGCTCATTGAACCCTAGGAATGATGTAAGTAATTTAAAAATATAGTGTATAATTTACTTTTTTTCTCTTTTCCATTTTCGTATAGCTCTCATATTATAAATGCCAAGCTAGTGTAACTATATCAGTGTCAATCAATAGGAACTTCAATTCTTCTGTTGCGAAATCGTTTGTCTGATCACAAATCGTTTTCAGGAGGACTGCTACGGTAATGGCTACTGCGGCATTTGTGAAACTTGCGTCTGCTACACAGACCGGGAAGGTTCCCAATATTTCGACCAAGACAACAACTGCGCAGGTCTCTGCACAATCACAAACGGTGATTATGAAGATTGTCTCGTCAACAGCAACGGTACAAGTGGAAAATGTTACAATTCTCATTCAAAATTGATCATGCAACGCTACAATGTTTCTCTCGCGAACGAAAGAGATATGCAGAATAGAAAAGTTTGGGTGAAATGCAATGAAACCTTTGACGACTGTGGAAGATTAGAGTACTTCGCCAGACGAGATGACAGAGGAGATATTTACGTTATGATGGTGAATCATTGCAACGAAATTATTGCTGAGGCTGTAGTGGCCGACACGAAAGGTAAGAATCACCAGTTTATTAGGGGTAGATGACAATGAAAAATGTAAAGCGTCCTTTATTGTACAAAGAGACTTGATACAGTTAGTCAGAATTAATTAGGCACAAAACATGTCAACAGAAATTAAAATAATTAAAACGGCACGATTATGAAATAACCACACAACGAATTCCACGTAATTCCATATCATTTGCGTCACTCTTAACAACAAGGCTCCATATGAATGAAAAAGTAATTTTTAATTATATATGTATAAACTTTACTCTGCACTGTATATCAAGCTCTAAGGTTATCGACTTAGAGTGTTTTCTTCAAGTTTATATTTGAATTTACACAGATGCGTTCAATAATTCCAGCCTTTTGACATGACAAAACAAATATATGCGCCTGACAACATCTGCGCATCGGTCTTTCTTAGAACAAATACATTCATCGTATGGACTTGCTCTATCATTGTTATTAAAACAATCTTGTTCACTTGTACCCTGTATTTATGTGTTATACGACGCCAAACTGTCCAATATAGTTGGAAATTACGTTAATGTTTGAAGATCAGAATCTATTCATAGAAATTTATTCGTTCACTTTGCAGTAACTTGCAATCATGAAGGCATTTTGTGTCTGATACTTTGTTTTTTATGAAATCGGTACTAAGATTATTAATATCGCAGTATTCTTAGCAATATGTATGCATAGCAATGCAATTTTTGTGTGTTATCGGAAAATTTGCTTAATCACTTGATGGTAAGCTGCCATCGAGAAGTTTCAAGTGCGTTGCCCTTATGGACTTTTGACGATTGGGGTATTTCGGGATTGAGAGTGGTAGGTATTGGGCGTCTGAAAATCTCACTTACACAACGAAACGCCGGTTTGCGTGAAACCTTGTATAGATATCACTGAGGTCGAGCCGTTCCGTTCGTTCTGAAGCAAGGCTCTCCAACACTTAAAAATTGGTTCCACATATCAAAAGATTTCAGGACAATATTACAGTTCAAAGTTCAAAAACTTCTGTACGTTCATGAACTTTAAAACCTAGATATTCTAGTTACGGCTACTTCCCTAATCACTAATATCACACATCAACTCCATTTGTCAGTGACCTAGAAAGTATTACAAACTAATGTTTACTCATCAAAGATAAAGAATGACAACAGTAAATAAACAAGTAGACATACGGCTGTTGTAAACAGTTTACTCATATACTAGCTTGTACCCGCGACACCGCCTGTCTATTGTACAAAAGTATAATACTTTGTCTTTCCAAACACAATCTGAGTAAACAACTTTTTATAGTTAATATTGTTTGTATTGTTTCCAGAATAGTAAATAGTGTTGTTTGTTTTAAAAATGGGTTATGATAACAATAGCTTGTTGTGATTATAACCTCCTTTAAAGTACTATTGAAGAATCTCATATGATTGTGTCGGTGACATTGTGAACTAGACAAAACATATTATTATACTAAAAAATAGGTATATAATCCTAAATAATAATTCTCCTAAAACTATAAACGCTTAAAGTTTGCAAATACGATACTATGAATGTTTCTAACATTGTAATTCTCTCCTTAAAAACTACTGAACAGTACCGAAAGAATTTTGGCGCAAAGATAGATTGTAGCCTAGAATAACACATAGGCAACTTTTCACCTTGTCATTACAGGCGGAGTTACTAGCAGAAGACTAGCTCTACATAATAATATGAATAAATACCTACACACCTACACCATCCAACCAATCATCTACATTAACTAAGTAAATAACACAATTTTACCTAATCCATATACTTAGAACAAAACGTGACATTATTGCACTTTGTTTAAACAAAGTCCCGCCCACCGTTTCATTGTTTTAGCAAATGGAAAGGAAAAGTACGTGGGCATAAGTTGTATTACAATGGATGGATTTACATTTCATTAACTTTCTTGTATTATAAGTCTTGTGAGACATATTCAAAAATTTATATGTTGGATGGCTTAGTTATATACGTAATTCATTGAAGAAACCGCACGACTAGCCGTATTAGTTTCAAGTTAACTTAAAATCGCGGGTTACTCACGTGTGTTAATTGAGAAAAGCTCTACTAGTTTGGAACCACAGAGGGGTTTTTTCTCATGACACACGATTCTTCCTTATCAATTACACACGTGAGTAACCCGCGATTTTTAGTTAATTTAGTATGTCTCATGATAGTTATTATAAAAGCATAGTTTCAAGTTTTTAAGTATCCAAAAGCTATGCTTCATTACAAATGGCCGGCTTAACTTGGGAGGTAACCATGACCTCACAGAAAACTGACATGATAGAACGCTCGCTTTATGGTTGTGTTCTTTCGCGCCATGAGATATCGGAGGTCCAATCCTCTTCCATCTTTCATTCGATACTTATTTCCCAAAACCCCCCAATCCACCAAATCTAATCCCCAAAAGGTCGTCAATACAATTTCGACTCCTCTGGACTTATGCAGATAGGTTATCAATGAGGAGCGTTAAGACAGCACAACAGACGATCTCTCAGATCATTGTCGTCCTATTTCATAAAAGAAGTTAGTCGGTTAGTGGCTGAAAATTAGGCGAGTTCAAACATTATTTATGTAAGCAAGTCATTTATTAATTTAATTAACTTATTACGTAAGAGGAAAATTTCATGTGTTGTTTGGTGGGTAAAAACCTTGTTATGTTTACTGGCCCTGCCTTATTTGCCTGTATTTGTTTTGATTTAACGTGAAAAACCTTTGTGGTCATAGTTTAATTGTGTCGGCAATGATAATAATTTGACCTAGGTGAAATCAGTCTATTGAAATGTGGCTTTAGGCGTTTTCCATTTTATTTTCCTCATACGCCCAGACTACGTACTAAACTAATATAAGTATGTAAATCCTTATGTACCCTACCACATAAGTTCACATTGTGGAATGCAATAAATATATTGAGTATTGAGTACGTAGAGTACCTAGTTTATTTATGACAAATTATTTCTACTTGACGAAATTAATAAGATTTAATTTGAACTCCTCCAACGCGACGAACTTTTTTGACGCGGTTGAAGCCTCTGTAGATAAAACCATGTGTTAAGTGTTTTATTACCAAAATTTTGCAAGTCATGATTAGTGCAAGTAGTGCAAGGATTATCTGTCACTTAATGATAAAAAAATGATTGTCAAAACTTTATTCAAAGTCCCAAATTAATATTTCAACTTTGTCCCCCAGTGCCAATAATCCTGGGAGTTCTTGGCATCGTAGCAGCAGTGGCGGCTGTGAGCGGCGTGATGCTGTGGAAACACTTGAACACAGTACCTCCAGTCCCTCTCAATGACCCTCAGTACCAGAACATTGACGCTGAGGACTGCACGGGAGAGAACCCGCTGTATAAACCTCCCACGTCTTCTTTCAAGAACCCGACGTATGGCAAGTGGTAGTTATGGTAAGTGGATTTTATTGATAAAAGACTTTATATTTTTTATTTTGGTTGTTATTGAAGTCAATTTTCTGACAAATATATGATATTCCCTTTGAAGTGTATTAACTCAACAGTTGTTTAAGGGCTGATTTTTAATAGTCAGAGAAATGTTATCGGAAGAATAAAATTGTTGCTGTCTTTGTCTTATACAAACATTCTGACGCGAGAGCATCATTCTTATTCCCCAGATAAAATAACTAAATAACTTTTATCTAACCATTGACAAATCAGCCCTAAGTCGAATATAAAATCAACAATACTAGATATATGCCTTTATAGACTTTAATAAGTAGATTACACAATGCTTTTAATACACAAGTTGATACTACTTTAATACCCTAACGCGACAAACGTTGAGAAATACAACGACTCAATTTATATGTACATTGCTTCACAAGAAATGCGTACCTATAAATAAAACTCTAAAATAATAATAATAAATCTTATTTTAGTCAACTTAAGTTGAGCTTAAAACAAAATACTCTTAGAAGTATGTAGGTAATGTTACAAAACCTTTGAATGCTAGTATGGCTCAATAATACCCAACTTTCGTCGAAAAGGTAATAAATTTAAAATAATCCTTCTATGTATAGGTAATTTGTATTTGAATGCTTTTTCCATTTCTAGGAATGTTATTAAAAACATTAATGAAATCATCACTAAGTACATATTATTTATTATTGAAATTCTTTGTATGAAAACCACAAGATAGGTACATACGTCGGTACTATATGTATGAAGTGTTATATTTTTATTTTTACCTTGTTGTGGTTTTAAAAACTGTATTTAAGCTTTTCCTAATACCTACCTTCATAGGGTTTCAAAGCCGTTACTTTTATACAAAAAGTCTATAGGTTCTTATACTGCTATAAGCTGTTGTGCTTGTTTGTTTGAAGGCATTAATATCCGGAGCTACTGATTCGAGTTAAAAAAAATTTTGTTACTTATAAATGGATTATTTATCGCGGAAGGCTATAGTAAAACATCACACTACGTCTGTAGTAGTACCTATAATAAAAAGAAATTGACAACTGGCGAAATTGTTCAGGGTTTGCTTTGCCATAGCTCCAGTATATTTTTGTTTTTTTATTATTTTTTAAACGTTGCCCCTCTCTATTATTTTCTCCTATATCGTGGGTGCGGTTACAAACAAACAATTTCACATACACATGACACCAAGACCCGGAACAACAATTTGTGGATCACACAGAGTTGTTCCTGCAATCGAACCCACAACACGTTGCTCAGCCACCGCACCAAGCGTGCAGTCAACGCAACCAAAGTCATATAAACGAGTGATTTGTTATTGTTTTATGCTTTATTTCGTACATTTTATAACAATGTATCGCCTATCAGCTACGAAGGCCATATCATATCACCTCATTGAATCTCAGCAACCTGCAATCACGACGTAGCCTTACTATCTTACCCTCTTTCCAATAACCTTCATGTTTTAACAGCTAACAGCAGTACGTTCACTTTGCAATAAATAATGTAAACTGCACTACTCTGAATATAAAAGGAACGGCTGATAACTATCCTGTTTCTAGACTTAACCTAGAATTATGTTGTTTCAACAAGTTAACTCTATGCATAGGTAAACTATATCGAATAATTCACACAGAAGACTAAAATAATGTAATGTAATTCACAAAACTCTTTTCTCTCAGCTTGTATTACTTTGGGGAGGAATAATCATCATTTGGTCTTTACTGGCCTGCATGAGGCGAGAGGTAGTGTCTGACTCTTACTGACTAAAAACTGACCCCGTTCCTTCTCCCGATGGTGTTGAAAGCTGACATTTTTATGATAAATATATTATGTTTTTTTCTTCTCAAAAAATATTTTGTTTATTTCGTTGCGGGATCCAATGCAGTCATTCATGTTCCTGGGCCACACTGCGGCTTCTGTGTTTCAGTGTTTTTATGGTTATATCTACTTTATCCCCTGTAGGGTTGCAGCGGTTTTGAGTGGTAGTGGCAGACTTGTCCCAATTGAACAAAGACCAATTGATGTGATACCAATTTAAAGCTAGATGAGTGAGATAACGACATTTGATTTTCTACTTTACCGCTAAACACTTAGGTTTAAAATGTATTAAAAATACAGACGTTTGGGATAGTTTGATGTGCTTGCATAGCCTCCTATCTAACCTAGCCTAGGTTCATATAATTACGTTTTAATGGACGTCCGGCCCACCCTAGACTGTCAACTTCGCACCACTTAATTGACAGGACTAGTTTTTCCACCATGTCAATGCACCCATTAACTTTACGTGATACCATGTAGATTGTTTAAGTTGTAGAAAAAAAATATTATGCAATTAGGATTAGGTTTTTCAAACATTCAATCTTTTTTTTTGTGCTGTCAAAAACTTGTGATCAAGAACACAAAAACTTAATAAAATCCATATTTCATTGTGCCATAGTTTTTACCAGCTATCATACAAATAACGTACAATAAATAATAATAAACACACAATAATTGAAAAACACATAAAAAAGATGTCCCATCCTCATTTCTAATCGTAACTAATAGATTGAAATGTAACAGTTAAAGCTAGTCTCAGACAGCAAAGGTACATTTATGGTCTCTATTAAAATTTCCTCTTTCGCCACTTTATGTCACAGTTGAGAAATATAGTCCGGTTTAATGCAAGATTTATGTTACAAAGCTATAACATTTAGTTCGTAAACCTACATAATATTGTAGTATGTATAAAACTACGCTTATAGGAAGAAACTACGCATAGACAAGACAGACAATGTGCATATAATTATACTTGTAAAGTGTGGGAGAGCCAAGCTTCGGCACGAATGGGTCGACCGGAGTGATACCACGGCCTCACAGAATACCGGCGTGAAACAACCCACAGCTTTGTGTTTCGCCGTGTGAGTGAGTTACCGGAGGCCCAATCCCTGCCTTTCCCCTATCTACCAATCCTTATATCCGCAACCCCTATCCCCAAAAGGCCGGCAACGCACTCGTAACTCCTTTGGTGTTGCGAGTCCATGTGCGGCGCCGATTGCTTACCATCAGGTAATCCGTCTGCTCGTTTGCCGATACGCGTCTTAGATACTCGATACTCGTAACACAAGCACGTTGCTGACCTTTTGTGGGTCATCAGGAATTTAAGAATTATTATATTATACTGAAGTCGCGCCTCTCACTGACAAGAGAGATCTTACTTAAAATCTCATACGAGAGTAACAAACGAAAGTATTCTGAAACTGAATTCACACCTACCCACACACAATCAACTTGTTAGTAGGTACGTACGTGACAGTACCAACCTCTTTCGTATTTGTGAAAAATACCTGCCGGGAAATTTCATTTAAATGTATTTTCGAGGGACTTTCCTTCTCTTGGCGAATAGTTTTATGTCATAATTAAAAAAAAGATTGTCCCGGTACTTTTTTACCATGCTTAGATACATGTAATGGCGTCCATCTTTTGTTCATGTTGTTAGTCATATTTCGATAAAGCGCAAACACTCACAGCTCACACGCTATTATTTGTATTACACATTACATCAAATATTGTGCAAATGTTATGAAGAAATCAATAATTCAATATGGCTACGTGATTGATTATTATAAGTACATATGTTGCAATTAAAATAATGTTAGTCAGAACAAAACGATTTGCTAAAACCATTTTCTCAATTCGAAGACATTGAAACTTCTTCGATAGTCTGTACCGATACAAGAATTATTTTCAAAGTAGAAAGAAAAACACAATAACTAAATATAGACTTGTTTTGTTTAATAGAATAGTTTACCTACTAAACAAAACGAGTCTATATTTAACGGTTCGACTAAACCCAGTTTCAGAACTATAAAACAGTTGAAATGTCATTTAAATTACAAGCAAACTCTTCATTTACGACCACACTTCCTACTAAAACTGATCTAGTCAATACTTATATACATAATATATATACTATATACAAAGCTATATTTATATGTATATAGCCAGAGTTAGTAGAACTTTTACAAGTAAAATCAGTGCACATCTTAGAATGAAAAGCTAACTATTATATTTTGACTGCACGGTTGGTGAGGTGGCCGGGCAACTGGCTTGTTGTGCAACGTATCGCGGGTTCGAGTCCCGCACGGAACAACTCTTTGTGTGATCCGCAAATTGTTGTTCCGGGTCTGGTTGTCCTGTGCACGTGAAATTGTATGTTTATAAACGCACCCACGTCATACGAGAAAATACCAGCGTCGGGCAATGTTTTTAAAAAAATATATTCTAAGTATGTATACATACCATTTTGCCGGGGTTGAGGGACTAGCTCAATGAGGTACCGGGCCTGGGCCCAAAGCAGGAGCAAAAACGGGGGGGTTTTTAGTCAGTAACGGCCTTATTAAAAAACAAGGTTTTACTTTAGTCTAGGACTAAACCATTGAGCCAGTTTTTGTATTTCGAATTGAAGGTAGATGACAATAAGGTTCAAAATTCAAAACCCGACTCAATGGTTTAAACCTGGACTAAAGATAAATCTTGTTTTGTAATAAGGGGGTAAGAGTCTAACACTCTCTCTAGCCAAATACTGGGCAAGAGAAGTCGTTTGATGATTTTCCCCTGACAATAAAAGATCTATACCATTTTATTGTAGTAGTATTTAAATGTATGTAGCTTCTAGCATACTTACTTATAAGTTTGCAGCCATATTTTAATGAAGATTATTATCTAAGAGAAGTTTGACGTCCAATACACTTAAGTTTATTAATCTGCATTTACATCTCAACTAATCTCCTGTCATTTTACATGTTCAAATGGCACAAAAAATACTCATACTAAACACTCTAGCGTCAATCACATGTCCCCAACTGTTTAATACGACAGAATCCATTATGGTGATAGATTTCTTCGACCCCTAGTGTGTATTATTTTCTCTTGTACGCACAAGCTATTCATTTAATCACAGACTTTTATTTTTCCCTCCCACGTCAACAAAC